CCTGACTCACCTGTACACCTGACTCACCTGTACACCTGACTCACCTGTACACCTGACTCACCTGTACACCTGATGAAGCTGACCTGTGCTTCAGGAGATATTTTGCTGACAGAGAAGTGATGACATCATCTGAAGGTTTAGGAGCAGCTGAAACTACGTAAACAACAACAATCTGTGAGACGTTTCTTCACACCAGACTGGTTTCATAGTCCTGATCTGGGTCCTGGCTGGTCCTGGACCTGCAGTCACTCCTGGATGTGGTCTCTGGGAGGTTTCGGGTCATGTTGGCAGTAGAACCGGTCCGGTCTCCCACATCATGACGCTGCCACCACCGTGCTTCTCTGGCAGCGTGGTCCTGGTTCAGTTTTTACTGACCCGAGTCTCGGAGGCCGTCCACAGACGACAGGAAGAACCCGAGGTCAGGTTCAGGTCTGCTGCAGGTCTGAGGACTCCGTGGGTTTAGACCCTGATGACCAGCAGGTGGCAGCAGAACACCTCTGATGAGTCCCACCTGCTGGACCCAAAGCTTCAGAACCTTCAGCTCTTTGAAAAGGTCCAGTTCTTCTGAAACATCCTGGTTCTTTTTAAAGAACCTACTAAAGTCTGAGCCTGTTTTCTGCAGGTTCTGGTCTACAGGCCAGACGTGTTCCGACTAGCCTTTAGCTCATCAGTCTGTCAGAGTCAAACTGAGGTCATACCTGCAACAGGTAAGATATTACCTCTTCATACATGACTTTTATTTTATATGTTGGATTTTTTATTTCCTGAAATCAAGAGAAACAAAACAAATAAAAACGAAGTTCTAACAGGATTATTCCTGGATTATTCATGGATTATTCCTCAGAGTTCATCGTTTGAAAACAAAAAGTCCAGAAAGACAAAGAAGTGCTCCTTATTAATTCTTGGTTTATTTAAAACATTCTGTATAAAGTGAGGATCATGTTTCACTGACTTGCTGGGTGTCAAACAGGGCTTAAGAATTAGGATTAGAGATTATGGTCCAGATTACAACCTTTGAAATGTAGTGGATGAAAAGTTAAAGTACCACAGYAATTGCACATAAAAACCATGAAGACAGAAAAACGATGGAACATTAAAGTCTTTTTCAACAAGATGGTGGAAATAATCTAAGATTTTCAGATTATCTGTGTGACGAGAGCAAACCAGGGACACGTCCATGTCCCTGTGTCCTCATGTCCTCATGTCCAATGTCCTCTGACAGACAAACAGCAGAAAGGAAAGCAGAGCAGAGTCCCGTACCCCCATAGATTTATAGATTTTTACATAGACTTATATATTCTTCTGTCCTCTATTTAGGGAAACTATTCAACATGTAACAAAAAATATGATATAATAAGTTGATTTCCTCCATCAGGAACAGAAAACTTGTTTTTTTAGTGGAAATCTTTCCCTCAAACCAAAGATTCAGATAAATGATCCTAACAAGAGCTGCGTTAAACTTTTAAGTGTTTCTTTTTCTAAAAGTTCTTTTGTTTTCACTAAACATGCAGATTAAAACAGAACCAGGAGAACTGAACAAATACAGACGAGCTGCCGTCCACACGTCACAGCTTCATCATCATCATCATCATCATCATGTGCCATCATGGAGGGGGGGTCTCTGAAGAACCAGAGACTCTGGGAGGTCCGGTCCTCAGAGTCCGACCACCTGCAGCCTCACAAACATGAGTTCAACCCTTTAAGACAGAAACGTTCAGACCTGCGTCCAACATGAGTCTAAATCTGAGGAGGAGGAGGAGCAGGAGGAGGAGCAGGAAGCTTTCTGCACCTGGACACCATCAGCTGACCTCCCACCTCATCTGTCTTTAAAGTGCCTGTGACATCAAATGTTTTAGATAAACATGAATGCATTTATAGAAAGAGGACATTGATAAAATATTACAAAATAAATTTCATATCGCTGACATGAACGGTTGTTGAGATATTTACATGTGAAGAAACAGGAAGTGATGTCAAAGGGGAATGTCTGCATGTAAACAGTAACCGTGTTTCCATCAAGGCTTTTTGATGCGCATTTAGAAGTGTCGCATTAAAAATACGAAAAAAAAAAAAGTCGGATGGAAACAGCAAAATTCTAAAAAAAAAATCCTCAATTCACTAAAAAGTTTTTACACTCGCTTAAAGTGGTTTTTGGATGATTTACAAAGTAGTTAACGCACAAAACAGGAG